AGCTTTCTTTACAATATTGAAATAATAATAGAATAATATAAAAATAAAATAGCAACGGTTATTTAAACTGTCAAGTTCGCTTCCGTTTCCTACTTGTCTTGACATGGCGTCTTAGCAGTAAAGAGAGCGGAGTGCCGTCTATTAAAAATTATATCAATTTTATTATGAATTATTTTTAAGAAATTTTTAATAACTTGATTTAATTATTAAATCAGTTAATTCAAATATGGATTAACGTACATTCACTAAAAAAAATCAGCTTACACCTATGTCGCTTATAGTATAAGTCTGTAAAACATTCACGATAACATGCATAATATTTACTTGTACCAATATTATAGTTTAACTGGTACAGTACTAGTTACGCGTGCCGGTAAATAAAGAAAAGTATAGCAACAATGAAATGCATTGAAAAGAAAGGGATGCATAGTCCGAAAATATCCGAATATGTCAGAATAAATCAACGCGAATTGCTTGTGACAAATGTAGGTTGAGCTCTGATTTAATTTTAATTAATGAATTTGGAAATTAAAATTCACTTATCTATGAAAAGTTATGCCATTTTTTTTTAAATTACACATTTGGCTACTATTTTCGCACTTTTTTATTGTACAAGGAACCATGTTGCGCGTCTGTTGTATTTTATTTTGTTGAAAATTCACGAGTCACATGCAAGATGTTCACGGGTCAGGAAGTGGTCGCTACTAAATTAGATCACGCGATAGTTTTCTTAAGTAAGACGTATTTGTCTGACGTGTTGACAGAAAGTATTCGCATTTCATGAGGCGTCTATTCGGGCTGTGTAGTCGTTGGTCACCCTTATACTATAAAAAAAATTACAGTCAAGCGACCCACCCCGGCTTTACCCGGGTAGAATCTATGTGCGCGGTGTTATTCAGATTTAAGATAATCATCAAAGACCATAAATTTTATCACTCACATAAAATATCTCCAAGTTTTTCGGATATAATATTGTTACGAGCTTGAGGTTCGTGACAATAAGAATTGCCGATAAAATTACCTAAATTAACACTTTAATTCTCTTTACACAAATTAAAACTTAAAACACTAATAATTAATCACACTAATTCACTTTATTTCGCTCCGAAGCTTCGCTTGTCTCGCCAACTTCAATACTTCCTCGATCGCATCTTGCAGCGCCTATTTATATAAATTAGCACGGAAATATCCAGAATATTCAAGTAAACACGCGCAAGGTACTGAGAGTTCGAGTTTCAACTAGGCGCTAGTGCCGTCGACTAAGGCGCGTAACACTGCCCCCTCCTAAGACATGCTCGTCCCGAGCATTATTGGCCCCATAATAAAGCGCCAGGCGATCCACATGGACGATCTTGGGAGTCCCTCTTGCGCCTTTCTGTAACGGCTCCGCAATGTCCAGGGCTGTCCTATCCCATGGTGCACCAGCATTGTACAGTTTCGATGCTCCTCTACTACGTGTCTGAGGTCCCTTCGCGGCCGCACAACTTGTACATGTACGACACCAATCCTCGACATCGTCACGATAATGGACCCAGTAAAACTGTTCTCGGACCTTCAGCAGAGTTCGTTTAACTCCCAGATGGACTCTTGAACGACCATTATGGCACAGCTGTAGAACATTCGGCACTTTAGCTTTAGTGACAACCATTTGCAAACGACAGCAGTCTCCTCGACCATTGTCCCATTTACGGCACAGGACTCCATCCTGAAGCAGCAAGCTGTCCCATTGGGCCCAATAGCTTTTCGTGGTTGAACTCATCGCTGAGACGTCCCTCCACTTAGGCTTGGTAGCACGGGCCTTCATCCATCCCAGAAGCGGCCGGATTGATGTCCGGATCTTCCTGCTGTGCATGTCGTAGGCTGTCCTTCCAACCGTTGCTGAGGTGGTCTGTCCTGAGCATCCTCACGGATACCACTTTCTTACTTTTTTGCCTAGTACAATGTTCCCAATCTTCAGGACAAGGTCTTCTTGACAATGCATCCGCGTTGCCATGAGATTTCCCGCTGCTATGTCTGATAGTAAAGTCATATCCCGGCTGCTGCTGGGCGGTGATGTTAGCTGCACTTCCCTTCTGAGATCGTTCACCATCTTTAGGGTGCCTCTCTGAGATCATCAACTCCCCTTTCTACAGTTCGCTTAGGGCAGCTGGATCGAAGATGGCCCTTTTCCCCACAGCCATAGCACCCAGGGCTGTATCCTTTGTTGCGGTCGCGTACTGTAGCTGCTGCAACCTCCCTGATGCGATGGGAACGATGATCCTGCCGCACGGCTTCCACCTCCAGTGCATGGGCCAAGGCGTCCTTAAGCGTCTCGTGGTGCCCCAGCCTCACAGCAGCTCTGACTTCAAGGTCGCGGATGCCGTCGATGAATGTCTGCACCAGGTTCCCTTCAATGAGCGCAGGTACAGGCCGATATGCTTTTCGCACCAGCTTCTCCACCTCTAGAGCCCACTGCTGCAGGTTTTCGTTGATGCGCTGCACGCGATCTTTAAGCTGCGCACGAAAGACGTGTTCCAGATGAGCGTCACCATATCTCGCCACCAACGCCTCAACGAGTTGCTCATAAGTCACTTCCTCACCGAGAGCTTCCAGAACTGTTAAGGCCTGGTCGCGCAGGCCTAGTGTGAGAGCAGTCATGCTGTCCGCCGTTCGCCTTCATAACAGCCTCGAACTGGATTTTGTAGGCTGACCAGGAAGAGGTACCGTCGAACGGTGGCACCTTGAACCCACGTAGCGAAGGTGTTGTGGCTACTACGGGAGCTGTAGCTCCCTCTCCAAGTTTGAGTTCGTCCAGTGATTTCTTCATGTCAGCCGTTACGTTGTCAACCCGATTGTTTACTTGGTCGATTCGGGTTTCAGCTTTCGCGATTTGGGTTTCAGCTTCCGACAGGCGGTTGTCATGCTGAGCAACCCTATCCTTCACCTCCTTTATCTCCTTCCCGAAGGTAGCGTGAAGGTCCTTCATGAGGAGCATCTGCTCTTCCAACCGACGGGCCTGTTCCTCCTGTCCGCCCCGCAGCTGCTCTTCCAATCGGCGTGCCTGTTCCGCCTGCTGGCGAGCCTGTTCCTCCTGTCGGCGAGCCTGTTCCTCCTGCTGCTCTTTCAACCAACGGGCCTGTTCATCCTGTCCGTCCCGCAGCTGCTCTTCCAACCGACGAACCTGTTCCTCCTGTCGGAGGTGCATCACCATCAGAGCACCTAAGTCAGGTGCTGCAGATGTAGGAGCTACTGACGGGCCTGCAGCCGGCGGCTGGCCCCCGCCGTCTGCGGCGTTGCACCACCAAATCTTCTTTGGTCCGTCTCCTGCTGGCGTTGACTTCGGGTACGGACACCCTCCGTTTCCTCCTTAGGTAAAATCGGCAAGATTTTATCCCACTTCTGACACCAATTGTTACGAGCTTGAGGTTCGTGACAATAAAAATTGCCGATAAAATTACCTAAATTAACACTTTAATTCTCTTTACACAAATTAAAACTTAAAACACTAATAATTAATCACACTAATTCACTTTATTTCGCTCCGAAGCTTCGCTTGTCTCGCCAACTTCAATACTTCCTCGATCGCATCTTGCAGCGCCTATTTATATAAATTAGCACGGAAATATCCAGAATATTCAAGTAAACACGCGCAAGGTACCGAGAATTCGAGTTTCAACTAGGCGCTAGTGCCGTCGACTAAGGCGCGTAACAATATAATCAGCGCGGGCAGATAAACAGACAGACAAAACTTTAAAATGGAAAGTCATCATGTCTTAATGTTATGTCAATAACTATCGAGGTCAGTATACAGTTATTCCAATATTATATGTTATATAGGTATATATATATATATATATATATATATATATATAGTATATATAATATTATAAAATTGAAGTCATTTAGTCACGTGCAAAACTGTATTTACTATCAATTACTGATAAGTTTGAAAATATATCTTGTGATAATATCATATAAATTAATATAAAAAAAACAATTCGGTTTATCCGTCTGTTTTATGTTGTCTAATCTATATGTTTGAAGTTGACGTGCTTACTTCAAGAGTTTCAAGTGTAAAGTTCCTGATGGAGATTAACTTAGATAAACGTCATTGCTTTTGAGATAAAAGATTAGGTAAAAACTGAAGTCAAGTTTAAAACTAATAGTTTTCCTCTTCTAACTAAATATCTCTGCCTTTATGTAACTAAATATCTTTGTTGCCTGTCAACCAAAAGTTTATATTAGGTTTTCTTTTATTGCTCCCAACTTATTTTCTGGTGAAGCCGGTCTGACATCTACTGTCTACGGATAATCCATATATTGGAAAGTAGATTTATATTATTACACTAATAAATCGTGAAATATAATTTGTTTCATCATCGTCATTAGTTTTTAGGATGATTTGCAATTAAATTCAATTTTACTTCGAGTGGTAAAATTAAATATGCATTATTAAAGATAACTCAAAAACTACAAGTTAAATCTTGATCAAATTTATGTGAGACTACATGAGAAGCACAAGCTTTTAAATAAAAAAAATAATCATCAAAATCGGTTCACCTAGAAATAAATTCTCAAGTAACACACATTTAAAAAAATACAGTACAATTGAGAACCTCCTCTTTTTTTGAAGTCGGTTGATTATTAAAAGCAACTTTATCTCTCGTAATTATTGCTTTGATTTTTGATTTAAGTTAACAATGAATTGCCTAATTAGAGATACTTTTTTTAAGTGTAGCCTTAATTGTAGTATGATGCGCCACCAGCGTGCCTCCTCGCCGCCCGCCCCACCATCCTCGCCCACCTCCGCGCCCGCTCTGCCCTCACCTTGATCGCGCCGACCTGCTGCTTGATGAGGTATTTAATTTGGTAGAGGAAGTTTGCAACGCCGAGCAAGAGTTTTGCACGCAGTTCTTTCACCTCGATGTTGATGTTAAGGGTGAGAGTAGCGACGGTGACGGTGAGAAGAGTGAGAGCGTGGTGAAGTGCCGTGTAAATGTGGTGCGGAAACGAGGCGCTTCATGAGCGAACTGTTTCCCACATTCGACAGGGAGCTGGTGGCGCTGGTAGCGTACCTCGAGCGCGGCGACCCCTACGGCGCGCTGCGCGCGCTGGCGTGTGCGGGACGGCGCGTGCTGGGTGAGGGCGGGGCGGGCGCGGGGGCAGGCGTGGGCGGTGGGGCGGGCGGCGAGGAGGTGCGCTGGTGGTGGCCTAGTGTGAGTGCAGCCATGGCCTGACTTTTATTCCAGCCGTTCGCCTCCATGACAACCTCGAACTGGATTTTGTAGGCTGACCAGGAAGAAGTCGCGTCAAACGGCGCCACTTTGAATCCACGTAGCAAAGGTGTTATAGCTACTACGGGAGCTGTAATTCCATCGCCAGTTTGAGGTCGTTCAGCGTTTTCTTCAAGTCAGCCAACACGTTGTCAACCCAATTGTTCACTTGGTCGATTCGGGTTTCCGCTTTCTCAATTCGGGTTTCAGCTTCCGACAGGCGGTTGTCATGTTGAGCAACCCTATACTTCACCTCCGTTATCTCCTTTCCGAAGGTAGCGTGAAGGTCCTTCATGAGGAGCATCTGCTCTTCCAACCAACGGGCCTGTTCATCCTGCCTGCCACGCAGCTGCTCTTCCAACCGACGGACCTGCAGCATCACCATCAGAGCACCTAAGTAAAGTGCTGCATGTGTAGGAGCTGCTGATGGGCCAGCCTCCGTGGCTGGCAGTTGGTGCAACGCCGCAGACGCTTGTAAGGGCATTAAATAAGTACGCCTTTTCCACCGAAACATCCAGAATGTTCCAGTCAATACCGGTCCCGACTGACTAAGTTCAGAAAGTTCGAGAGTGGACCCTTCTAGAAAGCTTAATTCTTCTGTTACATACTAGATGGCGCTGTTGGTGGAAAGTTCAAGCTTGGCATTTTCTAGGAAGCCCTCCTCGCTCTGTTCCCCGACACTAGATGGCGCTAGTGCCAGGTACCAGACATCAACCTAAGCGCGCAACAATATTATACTAATCAGATTCTGTCCAAAAGGTGAATGAAATTAATTTTCGTAAGTGAAGACAAACGATAAGACTGTGTTAGATATAATAGTAATCAAGCATTATTTTTACAGAATACGGCAAAAATAGTTTTTTATTACTAGTCAAAGCTAGAAAACAGCAGTAGAAATTCTTAGAATTTTCATTATATTTAATAAGACGTACCTATAAATATTATAAATTTATATTAACAAGTTAGAATAAAATATTTATTACACTATGTTACCATGGTGCGAGTTTAGCCGGTTTCATCGCATTTTATTCAAGGTTTTAAACTGTTATAACATTTTCAAATTATCTAGGTTGGTGTAATTTGCATTCATGGTCACGAGAGATCAAAGCCACGCACATCACTTCAAGATAACCGTATTATTTTATTCAATATGTTTTTTATCTTTTCTTTAAAGTTTGCTACGGGTTTGTACTAAAAATTGTCATACTATGTAGTATGGCTCTCCTTTGTTGCCTGCCAAGAATAAGTTTATATTAGGTTTATTTTTATTACGCGCAAACTTTTATAAGACAATCTTGGAAGTCAGTTACAACTCTTGGCAGCGGAAATTACGTAATACGGAACAACTGCATACATTTTAGCTTTTGTTACCGACTTTAAAAAGTTGAAGGTATTTAATTCGACTCTTTGTTTTCTTAATGTGTGTTACCTCATAAATTATCTAGCATAAACTATTAACATACTTACTCATTGGGTGACGTGACCTTGGCGGAGGTGAGGGAGATCAGGGACCTTGGTGTCTTGTTGGATTGTAAGCTGAAACTGACCGCTCACACTGATAATATCGTCAAAAAGGCGCCTCGTATGTTGGGATTCCTAAAAAGAAACGCGAAAGGCTTCCGATGTGCCCAAACTAAGAAGGTTCTTTTCAATGCACTAGTACGTAGCCACCTCGAATTTGCAAGCGTTGCATGGAACCCAGTTTATAGTACGTCTTCTCAGCGAATCAAAACGATTTGAAGAGTTTTCACACGCTACCTTGCTTTTTCAACTCCAGGAATATCGCATAGAAACCCCTATAGTCAGAGGCTAGCATTTTTCAAAATAACCTTACGTGACCGACGTCTCATTGCAGACTTAATGTTTCATAACAAGTTACTACATGTAGCGGCGCTGTCGTCGCGCCACAATCGAAATACACCGAAGTCTAAATCACGCTATCAACATTCCGAATCAGAAACAGTATATATAGAACATCTCCGAACTATCACATGGAGTGTCGGCCGCTCCCCGGGCAGAACATCTTGCCCGGCGGGAGATCTCCCATTTTCCTTTCACGGCCACAGTGGTGACCCCGACGTGATCTGAACACGCAACTAACAACCTTTGAAAACTTCAAGCTTCATCATCGTCATAGAATACTCCACCCATTCGCTCCCGAACAGATATCGTCTGCAGTCTTCATATCCTGCAAGCCATCTAGCTTCATAAGGTTCATCGCAGCACTGGAATAATAATGCTTCCTGTTCCTTCAAGCTACTCTCTGCACTATACAGTGTTCGGCACGGCTCTGAGCCTTACTGCTCGCCTCTGCTTCACGGCACTCTCGCAGATTACTTGCCTTCTTCTCGACTCACCGCAGACTACAAGGCAATCTCCTGGCACTTGCACATTCGTCGACAACTCGACTGCACTATCGACCTCCGGTCTGAGCAGGGGGTGATGTAGCGGCGCTGTCGTCGCGCCACAATCGAAATACACCGAAGTCTAAATCACGCTATCAACATTCCGAATCAGAAACAGTATATATAGAACATCTCCGAACTATCACATGGAGTGTCGGCCGCTCCCCGGGCAGAACATCTTGCCCGGCGGGAGATCTCCCATTTTCCTTTCACGGCCACACTACATAACAAAATCAAAAGTACGCACCTCCTCGATCACATCAAATTAGTTATCCCGTACAGATATCCCCGATATCTAATTCGCAAACTATTTAGCATATCTTGCCACAAAACAAATTTAGGCGCGCATTATCCCCTAGCCAGAATATGTAACACATATAATGAAATTATGACCAAGATAGCGGACATTAACATTTTCAACGACTCTGCCCGATGTTAAAAAAAATTGACCAAATTCTTTTCACCCTTGCAGCACACACTTATTCCTTAGTTAGTTTTTTCTTAATGTAAGTTATTTTGTATTTAGTACCATTATAACACATTACGGTAAATGTTGTGTATACCTGTAATTGGCAAACACATTTAACCATATACATCTGTTATTGTGTTGTTGGTAATGTTCATGCATAAATAAATAAATAAAATTATCATAAATAAATAAATCATCATTTACCATCAATATCCCCAACATATTTTGAGGACGACATCAGAGTAACGTCTGTGTTCTGTGGGGACGACCCATGTCAATATCATGTAATGACATCTGCGTGATTTTAATTTCCTAAGTTCTAGAGTTTGAGAACATGTTTTGCATAGGTATTTCCTTTTCTCTCTTTAGGAATTGATTTTCGTTAATATAATAGAAATGTTGTTTTGTAAATTATCGTTAGTGTATTTCATATTCCATTTTTTTATTCAGTCACGCAAAATTAAATTTAAATGATAGAATAATCAGGACATAATTAGGTAATGCGTTATAATCCACCTTCATAGTAATGTGATTCGAATGTGTCTTCATTTATATTAATTATTTAGAGACAGAGTTAAGATTAATGATTTCTTAAATTTACGCGAACACTACACATTGAATAAAACTATTATTTACGGATTTTATCGCGTTTAATTTATTTTTATTATCCAGACGTTTCGGGTGCTTTATAGCAAAACGTCGGGATAATAAAAATAAATTAAAGTTGAATTAGACGCGATAAAATCCGTAAATAATAGTTTTATTCAAAGAGTTAAGATTAATTTCCATTTATTTATTATAAGAGTATTATTTTGTTATTATCTCAAAAACTACTGCTCCAAATTTAAAATGAATAACTTTCTGTGTAATTATTTAATGTATAGAACCTCTATACTAAACGTGAACCAAAAAGTCAATGGGTATGGTATTGTGTGAAATTGAAGTTTTATATTTAAAAATTAAAACATAATTTTTTGTCATAATGCACCAAGGGAGTTATTTATTTTACTAATTTGGTGCAAATGAGCCAATATTGTGAATAAACTGGCCACGAAATTTATTCCTTTTTTTTACTTCTTATAAGCCAGTGATTAACCACAGTTTCACCTGATGGTAAGTGATGATGTAGTACGAGATGGTAAATCGCACTGTCTCAGTGCAACAAAAACCTATTCACTCTTGCCTTGAAGACATCCTGATTGTGTTTGAACGGTAAGACCGACGCCGGAACTCCTTGTTTTGGTACTTTGATTACTTTTAATTTATCGTTATATGTCTCACTGTCTGGTCTTCCTCGTAGTTTTTTACAAGATAAGATTTCTACTGCGGAAGCTTTTCAATAAAAAACGCATAGTATGTTTGTTAGTCATTAGGTAGCACGCAGCCATGTGAACACCAGCATAAATAGGCTTGTAATCGGAGTATGCACTATCTTCTTTTTTTTGTAGGATAGGGGTGACAAATTAGCACACACAGTCCACCAGATAAGTAGTTGCTGTGGCCCATTGTCATCTACATCTACAATAAAATGCAGATGCGTTGACACCCGTGAGGACTAAGACGGAATGCTTCGTTTCCAGTTAAAAGGGTCTCCGGTTTTCTACACTCACCATACGAAACACAGCAGCGTTAAACTGCTATTTTACGCTGGTATTCTGTGAGAGTGTGGTCCTTCTCCGATAGAGTCGACCCATTCATTCTACTAATATACTAGTAAATTTCTACTAACTTTTACTAATTTTCTTCAACATTAAAAAAAAAACGTAACACCCACAATAGGATTTCTCCTGTATCGTGGGGGCAGTTTATATACATAAATTCGATAAGAACAAACATCCATACCCGGAACACTTATTTGTTGGCTATACAAATACTTGTTCCGTGCGGGATTCGAACCCGCGGCTCTTAGTGTTGCAACTCATTGCTAAGCTACGGCGCCGACTTCAAAAAGGAGGAGGTATTCAATTCGACTGCTCGTTTTGTTTAATGTGTGATGTTTACCTCCGAACGTTTTTCTGGGTAATGTGATTTTGATGAATCTTTTTTTATTTAAAAGCTGGTACTTCTCGTGTGGTTCCATAAAAATTTAA